AATCAAGAGTGAGTTTTCATGATGTAAGAGGATGTCGATTTTAAAAAAGGACTTTTCCAAAGTAAGTCCGTTCCTTATTTACAACTTAAGTTTGTGCTTGTGCACAATTTGTGTTTGTCCAATAACTGACCTGTGGCAGGGAAGAAGGGAGTGTGGGTTCTCCTCCTGATGATGCCCTTCTCTTCTGTTCCATAATTCCAGCACTTTGCCAGTCACTCAGATGGGAAATGCTGACCCATCACCCTTGCTAACTCCCACCCCTTGATGTTTTCACAGGTCCTACTTCAAGAGGCTCTGCTGATTTTCCAATACTCCCCTCAACACTCTTGTGACCACCACCCTCCTTTCTCTTCCTACTTCATTCATTCACAGAGGTGGTCAAAGAACTGCGCTGTGTCAGGGACTGTGCTGTGTGCTAGGGAACATGAGGGAATGAGAAAGGGCCATCCCAGCTGATATGGGTCCTACCGCTCACCAAGGTGTTCAAACACAGAAGAAAGGCAGAGAGCAAGGCGGTAAAGGTGGTCAGCAAAACCAAGGCCTCAACCCAATGAAGCGAGAGTCAGCAGCCCATTACTGAATTCGGGACCTACCGCAGGGCCTTGTCACTGCTATTAATCTTTCAAAAATCTCTTTCCTTCTAAGCCTGGTCAGCTCCAACCTTATAATTTATCCTCAGTACTTCTCCTCCTGAATGGCCTTTCTTCTCTGACTAGAAACCTTCCCTGGCTTAGAAACCCAAGCCTCCAACAAGCTGAACCTCCAACAAGCTGAACCCAGGTAACCTTCGAACCACCTTCCCACTGCTCCTATCCTTGCTCTCCAGGCTTTTCGGGCTCTAGTCAAATAAACTCGGAATTAATTACTCTACCATGCACATCTCCTTACACACAGGCAGCTTTGCACCACAAAGTCTCCGTTCCATGAAAGAATATACAACAAATGAATGAGCGCATTTCAAGAACTCCAAAGCAAAGAAACAAAGTTAATACATAGTTTCCAGTGTAGCACATTTATTAGCTCACTTGGAACAAAGCTGAGGCCAGACCAGTATGTGAAATTCTCTTCACCACATTTTCTTGCGGGAGGGAAAAGAAAAAAAAAAAAAAAAAGTGGTTGTATTTCTCTGAACCAAATCAAACACAGTATTTAGCAAAGGGCCTCTGGAATGTTACAAGTAACACTTCATAATTACAATAGATTGGAGTTCAAAGACCAAGTGATGAAAAGAAACTTTCTAATACGGGGTTCAATTCCCTATATAAACTTCCCTTCTGTGGCCCCATCTACCACTCGCATTTATATTGCCATTCTACTTTGTCATAAAAGCAGTCACCTTGTAACCCTTTTTATCAAGTAATCTATGCACTACCTAAAAGTACACTCAGCTCCATCAGGCGAGCTGTATAGGTTTCATTACACAAACAGACCAATTCTGCGCGCTCAGCACTACTTGTCAATAAACGCACGCAGTTGCAAAACAGCAAAGTAGGCTCCTTGCCTTCGGAGACCAGAGAGGGGACCGCCAGTTTTGCAAAACAAACTCCCTGCAATCAGTGAGGCTAATCTGTCAACAAATTACCATTAAAGTCACACCTCCTGAAAGTTCAAAAAGAGATTTCTGATTAGACAAGCGAGAGGGGGTATTTTTTATTATTATTATTATTATTATTACCTCACAGGTCAGGGCTTAAAATTGCCTTCGCAAAGTAGGGATGCTTTGGCTTAAAGTTGAAGGTAGGCTTCACGCATGGTGAAACGTGGCACCTAGCTTTCTATATATTTGGCTCTTTCTCTGTTGTCGTTTCTCATGCCATCTCACTTTTCAACAGAGAAATTAATGACACACAACTGTTTAGTAATCAGACCTTGAAAGGATTTCATATAAGGCTCACATCACAGGTTACCTAAATCTCTGACAATATTTTGATGACAGGGAGGTCCAAACTCCCAGAGTAAAGAACTTTAGCACTCAGGGTGAAGTGTGCCTTTTCCACCTTTTCCTGAAAGAGTCACAAAAGGAATGGAGAAAAAGTGGGAGTCTGTTATTGTTATGGCTGCTTTTTCTCTATTTGTCACAACTATCCAAATCCCTCTCTTACTTTTATCTCAATTTGTTTGCATGGTTTTCGCTAATGTTTTTGGGGACACCGGTTCCTACTACAAATTTTTGATCATCAATAGCTTCTATATTCGAACTCTGCCTTGTGTTCAAAAAGAATCTAACTTGGTACAGTGAGTCCTTAAAAATTATAGTTTGAGGTTTTTACCCACCACTGAAGGAAGGTGCTAGCCCCTATCACAGTGCCTACCTCAATGAGAGAACTCAATAAATTAAGATCATCTACATTCTACATTACCTTCCAGAAGCTTCCCTTATTAGAACCAGAGATGCTGACTATCTTTTCCCTTCCAGTGGCATCAAAAGACCCTCCTTTCAGACACAGTCCCTGCTATCAGCAAGTCAAAAGGCCACTTGAGTGTGTTCTTTGTTTGTTTTCTTTTTATTTTACTTTTTATTTTTTTCTCATTGCAATACGTGCCCTCCTTAATACCCATCACCAGGCTAACATATCCTCCCCACCCCCCTCCCCTTTGAAACCCTTAGTTTGTTTCCCAGAGTCCATAATCTCTCATGGTTCATCTCCCGCTCTGATTCCACCCCTTCAGTATTCCCTTCATTCCCCTAATGTCCTCATGTTATTTCTTATGTTCCACATATGAGTGAAATCATAGGATAACTCTCTTTCTCTGCCTGACTTATTTCCCTTAGCATAATCCCCTCCAGTTCCATCCATGTCGATGCAAATAGTGGGTACTAATCCTTTCTGATGGCTGAGTAATATTCCATTGTATATATTCCTAACAAAGTTAACAAAGCAACCTTTTGCAAAGAGAAGAATGGTAAGGCCGAACTGGCCATTGCTACCTGGACTTTGTACTAATCCACACTTAATCACTTGGGCCTCCCTCTGTAGAGGGAGGAACAAGGCAAAGGATGACCACACTAACAGTAACGTGGTTCCCACAAAGGAATACGAGTACAAATGAGAAGCGCACGGGGGCGGTCTCTTTCGTCGGAGCTTACTGCCCATCCAAATGCAACAGCGATTTCTCCCACACGTTTTTTATAGGGGCACCTCAAGCTGGAAGTGTTGGCAGGACAACCTCCCTCTTTTGCTCGATAGCCACTAGTCATTTTGGTAATAAGAACAAAATGAGGACATTCATTCCGCCATGTTGGAAATGAAGAGAAGAATTTTTAATATTTGTGTATGGGTTTATGCTAACAGGTTTACACTCTGGTCATTATCCTTTGGTGACTTGCATCAGGAGATTCCAAGAAATAGACCCGTGATTCTCCTGGGCCCTTCTGATAGTGTATTGTCTACATCCTCTATGAACATACACAGCCAGATTTCCTTCTCGAGCCCCCTCCCACTCCTCCTGTCTTTCTGAGCTTCTCTGGTCCTGGGCATCTCCCAGGCATCTCATCTCTTACCTCCTTTAATAGCTCATTGGCAAAATGCAACCCAATGAATCCCTCTTCTTCCCTCTTATGATGTTTCAGAAGCTACTTGTCCTTCCTACCTCTCTTAACTCCTTAGGACTCATCCAATGTTTTCCTCTCTTTCTTTTACATTATTAACAGGAAACATGTATATAGACACATGTTGATGGTGGGTAGGTATCTTTCGGGCCAAAAGGTCCAACACCTTAAACCAAATGTCAAAGAACCGATGTCAATGAATGAAACAAATACATCTCTTATCTACACTCTCTAAATAATCCATATTTAAATCCCATATGTAGTATATCTTTTTTTTTAATGTCTTTCTCACAGACTACCTCCACACTGCCCTCCTCATATAAAACAATAGCCACACCTCAAAACCACAGCAACCAAAGCTCTCTCTATCCTGATTTGCAGACAATAAAACTGCCAGGTGGTACCCAAAAAAAAAAAACCCATCATTAAATGGAATGTTGTTAAGAAATAGCTGTTTTATTTAACAGCTATTCATTTTTATTGAATAAACATTTTCTAGTATGCATTCTGTTAATTGACCTGACAGCATATGCTGTATATGGAGAAACTTCTAAACATTATGCTCTATGTAATATGCTTATCTGAAAAAGCTCTCATTTGCAGCAATATGGAAATAAAATTCTGCTTTCTAAAATTCAAGACTTTTAAAATGCATTAATCCACACAGTTTATGAAATTGCTCTGGACATTTTAAAATCCTTTCTTAAGGGGAAAAAAAAAAAAAAAAACTTCAGTAACTGGTAATAGTATTTGTTGCTCAGTTTCGTAATGGAGTAGTGTATATCCAGTACAGACCTCTTACAGACCCAGAAATGGGGCAGGCATAATAGGAAATAAAAAGCAGTTATGGTATCGGGTAAAGAATGACCCAGTGGCTAAAAGAAATGTTCGGAAACTCTATCAAATTATCTTATTAGGAAACTATTGTTATAATAGTTTCATGGCCCAGATAGAAGTAGGCTTGAAACATTACAGAGATAATACATTTCATTTTGAGGAAGGAAGACAGTTGGGGAGTGTGTTGGCGGGTTCCTCCAAGCTACTGGCAGCACCTCTCCTTGGTGATGGCTTCTGAGTGATGATGGTATCTTGCAGAACGACCAACCCCCCTCCCTAGAGGGCCACAAACGAGCAATGCTGCTGGGTGGGAGCTGGGGCAGCCTGGAGGGCGGCAGGCTCCTTGACTTCACGAGCAATCCATCCCCTAACAACTGTTGCCCTCGTAGGAATATTGGTCTAGGGTTACCGGATCTTCTGGTTTTTCAAGAGAAGATGGAAAAGCCAGATTCTCCTGGTTTTTCTAGGTTGTCACCTATGTAATTTTTTTTTTTTTTCCTTTTTAAACAATTCTTCTTAGACCTGATTTAGCCAACCTGTAGACCAGTCCCAGCATAGAAGTCACTCATTCCACAGCTAATCTTTGTGAAAGCTCTTCATTCTGAAAGGGCACTTGCTATCATTTGTAATTATCTTTGGTAATAAGAATCAAACATGGAAAGGCTTGCATTTATTTTAAAAGTCCTGGCACTAGGCAAAAATTCTCCCTATATTGTCAACGATGGCACTGGTACAACTGGAAAATCCTATAATGTTCAGTGTTACACACAGCATAATTAACTCATTTTTATACCAAGCCCTTTTAAGCCACATCTTTTTGTTCCATGGACTTCTAACATATTTTACAGTTCTAATTCTCTTCCACTGTCCTACATTAATCAAAGCTGTAACCCCTGTTGTCTTTGTACTACAGAATCAGAATGTGCCCCTGGCGAGGAATGGGGGAAAAGTCAACAGGAATTAAATTTCAGTGCAACTGTTTACTCAACTGTGGCCTGCAGTTATTGAAATTTTATCCGTGGTTTTGTGTGACTACCGCAGTAATGAATTCAGCATGGCTGTGATTTTCTCACTGCTGGTATTCTCACTTCAAGTAAAAACCTGTAGAATAAAAATGACGAAAACAACCCGAGTCCATCACGTTGACCCTCACATTTCTTCAAAGCGCTGACTTGTTGCCATTTTCGGTCTGGAAGGAAACTAGGTTCATTCTAGTCCTGCGAAACTTTTTCAATCCCTTAGTCCCCCCACCCCCACCAATTCATCGAGAGATTTACTTGTCCCCCAACAACCTGTGAGGAGCCTCATCATACACTTGGAGGGGCAAACAGTTGTCAGTATTTTGTCTTAAAAGATCAAAAAGGGCCACCAAGCACAATATGTGAGGTTTTCGCCGTAATGATAAATCCAAGCACACTCTCTCTTCCTAAATCATATCAATAGCAAATAAAAATAAACTTGTTATAAAAAGTATTTAAAATGAGTTTCGAAGTACAACAAAAGGTACTGACATCCATAACACGTAAGACCATGTTTTCCAAAGTGGTCACAGCCAAGATAAAGAGGAGAGATGTGGATAACTAATTTTGTTACCGATGCTTTTTAAGGAAGATGTTGTTAACATGCACTTTCCTAACTGTCTTCTATGAGGCCAATGTGTTGTTGCTGATATTGGTGTAGGGGTGGGTGTGTGTGTGTGTGTGTGAGAGAGAAAGAGTATGGTACATATATAAAGATTTTGGCCGACTTACTACTTTAAGATGGTAAATGATTTTTTAGTACTTCATATAAAATTCTAAAGAAGTGAATTTCCCATTTATTTAATTAATGTACCCTAAATACTAAGCATGTGGGGTTCCCACCCCATAGGTCAAGAGCACCACACCTCAACTGCTTAAGAACTGGTGGCTCTTGGCCTTTGTAGGGTAAGGACATAGAACACAGCACTCCAAGATCCCGGTGGCTCTCTCCATTGAACCGTAAGTACCCGAGAACACCACATGAATGACACACGCGCATACACGGATACTATCCTACCATCTGAGGATATGTTTTGCTAACTACTTCAGTGGTTAGAATTCTGCCATTGGCACTCATTTAAGTGCACGACCTTCCACACAACATACGTCATAAATTCCAGCTGATGGGGTACCCAAGGTGCAGGCACAGAAGGTTCTGGACAACCAGGGACAGAGGTCACATCACATAGATGAAGTGCTCGTCGTGAGACCTGAGCATGTCTGCTAGTTTCCTTTTCTTTCTGTCCTAGCTTTCCCCCAGCAGGTTCCACTACCTTCTAACAGACTAACAATGTAACGATTCTTCATATTTTAAAAACTTCTCAGCAAGTAAAAAAATGAAACATCCTCAGAGCCTGTCGAAGGCTATAACCCTCATACAAAAAGGGATTTCCTTTCCTTCCCTGATACGCTTTCCAAGAAAATGGTTTGAGAAAAGGCTCGTCTGCCTCCTCCTCATCCCCCAAAGATTTCTAATTTTTTTTTTTTCCAGAAAGGCCCGAAGATGCAGCGTTCTTTTTCACCTTTTTGCAAGGGCACCACAACTATGTACCGAGTAGATGAATCCAAGACCAAAATGGAACACAACCCACCCATTATCATTTAATAAAAACAAATCCTATTTCCTGATTCCAAGAGAGGCTGGAAAACAGTCTGTCTTCAAGCGGGTGCTATTTACTTATCTGAATTACCCGCAACATTTGGGCCATATAACACCATTTTCTGGGGCACCTTTACCATTTGGAAATATTTAATCCGTCCCTCACGGGTCCCCACTGACATGACTATGGAGAACGTAAGGAGAATGAGTATGTCCCAATTTACATGCATTTGGGGGAACCACCAATAAGAACTAATGTAAAACATTAAGAGGACTTAGCCCCATACCAGCTGCCATATGTACACAAGACACATAGGCCAGTGGTCCACACCCCGAAGTTCCTCCAGGCACCCGAGGCCACTTCTTACACTGAAGCCTGTGCTGTCGATGCTATGCCTGCTGTATACCCGCTCCTGCCCGTCTGTTTCTACTGTTTGCTTCCACTCCCTCTTCCATCCCCTGTTCCTTTCATCCACCATCCCTCTTTTGGTGTCGTTCTTCACCAGTCTCAGTAAGCCCGTTTATGAGTATGACTTTTTAACTCAAGCATAGGGAACCATGTCTGCAATTCATTTTATCCCAAATAGTTCAGCTTCAGGCTGCCAAGGTGGGGCCTGAGAAGAGGTGAGCTCAAGCTCATCTTTAACAACTGCTCCCCAAGACAGGGGGCGGGGGCAGAGGGAGTAGCTTCCAAGAGTCTCGGCTCCCAAGAGCTTGAGCACTAGTCTCCAAGGGCCACCACCCCGCGCTGGATGCTGCTGACAGGCGGCCAGCCCGCCACGTGAGCCTCCAACACTCGCACGGGGGCGAGTGCGGAGGGCGAGCGGGAGCGCCAGCCCGCAGTCCCCCCCGCACCCCGCGCAGCCCGGTGGCCACGGTACCTGCTGCTGCTGCTGCACGTGCACGAGCTCGGCGGCCCCCGCGTCCGCGGCCGGCGTCTCCCCGTTGGACCGTCCTTCGCGAAGACTCCCGCACTGGAGCAAGTGGTTGCCGCCGCTCGACCCGTTCTGGATGGCTGAACCGTTACTTTTTGTCTCAGTCCCAGATTCTTGCATCATGACTCAAAAACCTGATAGAGGGATTTTCAGGAGGGAGCAGGGGAGAGAGAGAAAAGCAGCTGTTAAAACAGTTGTTGGACAGAAGGAGAAGGGCCCTGCCTTCCGTGTTGCCAGACTCTGTAAACAGTTGTCCTTTTCTTTCACACACTCTTGGCCCTGGGTTGTGGGCTAGTCCCTCAGTGTCTGAGGACGGAGGGGTCGGGCCAGCTTCAAGAGTTCGTAGTGGTCCTTTCAAGAAGCTGTTTCCCCTTGGAGAAAAATCCTTCCGGGGGAACTCGGGATTTATGGTTAAATATCTGTGACTATCTGGATGTTTTTCTCAAAAAGGAGTAAGTTGTTGTATGTGGCAATATTAGATGTAACATTAAATTTCGGTGTGTGCAGGCTCTGCGTTGGGGTGGTACACTCCTAGAGAGAAAGTCTCCAGCCCCACGCTATCAAGACAGGACACACACCACGAGGAGAGCCCTGAGATCATTTGAGCCGAACACCCTCACGGTCAAAAAGACAAGAGCATTTAAAGATTCGTACTCCCCAGAATGATTCCAGTACTGAGAAATCTTCAAAATTGGTGATTCCAATGAGATCAGCCACATTTAGAGAGAAAGAAAAAAAAAAAAAAAAAAAAAAGAATCCCCTCCCCCCACTTTTCAGGAGCTAAAAAAATTTCAGACTCTGATCTTTGTCCTATGGTTAAAACTGTCCTAAGAAATCCTATTCAAATTTAGGGGATTTTCTCATGCTGAATTACTAACCTCTAGTTTGTTTTAAGGCCTGAAAGGTCTGGGACATCTTATATTTATTTTGGAAAAAAATCTGGCCTTAGGCAGACCAAAGAAAAGGTCTGAATGCAAAATTATGAAGTGTCTAATAAAAAACATATATGTGTATGTGTTTGTAAGTATGTATGTATGTCTATATGTACAGTGTAAGATGTGCAGCTGGAGGATATCACCTACATACATGTAAATGTGTTTCATGTTCTGCCCAGCTACTTTCTAGGTACAAAACCATTACCCACAATTCAGCTCTCAGTAAATGCATCTGATTATGACAAAAGATAGATCATATTTACTACAACCAAGTGTTACCAGTGCCGTACCAAGCCCACCAGCCGGTGATTTACGTATATTTCCCAGTTTAGTTCTGACTGCCACTGGTATCTCCAGTATGCAGATGAGAAAACTAGGCCCCCACGAGGACCATTTTAATTTGCCCAGCCTAAATCATTAGTAGTGGTGCAAAATCAGGATTTGAACAAGTTCAGCCGGATGTCAACATTCTTAACCATGTGTTTTCTTACAGCTGAGGTGTAGTAGGGAGCAAACAGTGTAATGGCAGGGTCATACTCCAAATTCACAGACGAGGACTTTGAACAGGAAAAGCAATAGTCACTAAAGGACCTGACAGTTCCAATATCAAAGCTAAGAAATGTCTGAATATTAAAACTTCAACGTGAAACACCGATCTCAGATCAAAGGGCTGAAAACTTGTAACAAATACTCGTGCATTGTGGAAAGACATGTGCAATCTGCATTACGGATCCCCCCCTCACTTGCAATATGTGACAACAGGGAAATTGAAACACTTGGGACATCTTTAGAGGAGGCTGCCCTCTTGCTGGAAGTTGGTTCAAATCCCTTCTCTACTGACTTCCACAAAAGCCTAATGGAAAATTAAAAGCAGAAAAATTCACAGCTTTCTTCCTTTCCTTTCAGTGTCCTGTATGATCCAACTTAGGTACAAACTTTATAAACCCAAAAGACATGTTTAAAGTTAATCCAATTCTGAAGGGGATTAAGAATGGCATTTTTTGTTGTTGTTGACAGGTGGAAAACAAACTCAGAAGCAACAGCTGATTCACGCTCTTTTCTTGAAATCAGACTTTCCCATAATTAGAATCATTTAAAAACGGCCTTTATATCCTTACTGTCTACAGAGTATAAAACCTATCAAAAACACAACTAAAACTTTCTCTAAGATAGAAGAACCAGGCAATACAAGTACCTTGTTTGTTGCCAAAAAGGAATTAATTTGTGCAATTGAGGGGGCTTTTCCCCCCAATGTTTCTGTTTCACAAACCTGCCCATTCGTACAGAAATGAAGGAAAAGGTGGTGTTTAGGTGTTTGAGGGAGAGAATGGTTGTCCTAGCATAGTTAACAAGGAAACGCACTCAATTCTTAGATATGTCACAAGCATACCTAAAGAGAAAACAAAAACACTTTTCTTTTTTTAAACTTTCTGGAAAGCCTACTCACATCAGCAAACAGACCCCCCAAAAGATAAAAACATGGCTTGCACATGAGATCTTTACCTGCCCTCAGAAGGGGGCCTAGTTAGCCACATATCCTGTCCTCCGAGCTATAGGAAAGAATCTGCTTTTCCCGGCCTGCGACCATTGGGATGCCTGACCTCAGAACAGGTGTCTAAGAGACTGGCCCTGCTTCTGTTTCCTGGGTTTGACACCGTGGTGGTGGGTGGAGTAGGGACGATCTCCAATCCACAATTTGATAAGGTTTTGCTCTACGCAGTTCCAAGAAGACTGCCAAGTCCTCCAGGAGAAGTTCTGCAGGCATCTCGCCAAGCAGCTTGGCTTGCGAATCGGGTCTGTGAGAGTGCAGGCATTGGGACCGAAATTGCATAAAGGATTATTTTGGTCTGAGGATGTCCTTAATTAGTCAAGTGCTAACAGTAGTATGTAGGTTGCAAGATTTAAAATTTCCCATAATCTCCCACACCAATCAGGAGAAAACAGCTTTTTGAAAAGCACATGTGAAAAATTAGGAGTGTCGATGTCTAAGAACATTTCTAACAATATCTGGGCTGGCAATATTTCTTTCTATGGAATGTTCCAAGCCATTTAATAAGGCTTTATGTCTGTACAACACTTCACAAACTACAAGGCTCTCTGAGGTACTTTTCAAACTCATAACAAGTCCATCAAAGAGAGGAGGCAGGTGAAATTTATCCCATTTTACAGATAAGAAAACCAAAGCTCCGTAGGTTAAGGAATAGATACAGCCATCATCCTTGCCTGTTTCAGATGTGAACCTGTCCATTCTATGAATGACGGAGAATTTCCCATTTGCAAAGTCCTGGGCAAGATGGTCCATTAGTAAATGAATGAAAAGAAAACTAAGTAATTCCAGGAAAGACAGTACCAAGGTGGCAGGGAGACAAACAAAAGCATCTAAAATACGAAGATGAAAGTGTCCGCACTCTTTAGCAAACACCTCTATTTGTCTTTTTCTATTGAGTTTTACAATTTGAGAATCATCTGAGAGCAGGGCAGTGTATGCGAGAGGCACGTGCATTTTCTGACATCGAACACTGTACCTTCTTTTCTTAGCGGGAACTTGTCATAGACACTCAGTTTGTATAACCTCCACTTCCCTCTAGGACTCCTTATAACCAAAGAACTGCCCTGCTCCACAGCAAATCGAGAGCAAGAAACGATACGCCATCAGCCGGAGCGTGTGGATACGAAGGCATGGCTCCTGGAGGACGTGACCAGCCCTCCCCACTAACAAGCCCTCCGGAAATAAACACAAATCTTCCTCTGGTTTCTTGCGTGTCTTCTCTGAATGAGCCGGTTCTGTTTAAGTCACATACGACCGGTTCAACACACCCCTGCAAAGGCCGAGGCTGTAATCCCGTGGATGTCAGAAAGCGGAAGGAAGCCAAAATGGCCCACTTCTGGTCTTGCTTCTGGAAGCGTGACAGAGCTACTGATTTCTGAAGATCGATTTTTGTGCTGAAGGAACTTGTAGAAAAGGATACGAACTGAGGTTAGCCTGCTTATTTATTGTCGCTGCCAACAGAGCATACCCTGGAAGTATTCTGGAAAATTCATAATGTCCAGGCCAATGTATTTATAGTAAATTAAAGCAATGCTTTATTATTATGATTATTTCCTTGGTTACAGTGTTGATGCTGAAAATTTAAGGAAAATAAAGCCCTTGTTATCATGCTTGTGAAAGATTTTAAGCTAACAAAAAGTTCAGTCTTGATTCCAGGGCAGTTAATTAAGGTTGACCAAGTCAGGCAGAAGTAAATTAACTTGGCTGATCAATTATTTATATGAAGCAGAATAAATGCCCTTAAAGAACTTGGTCTGTTCATGAAAGGATGTGTAAATTAAACTAAACACAGTTTTGTAAAATATATTTCTACTTCTATGGGAAGAAGAGAGGAGAAGTTAATGGTGAAATCACTTGTAGGAAAATGATGACGGTGATGACATGGTCCTCCCCCAGCCCAAAGCAAAGATCATTTTCTCATTGTTCATCCAGTACCAGGAAAGAAGGAAATGGGAGGTATTTTGAAGAGATAACAGAAGCTCTTGGAGTGGGGGAGGGAGGGAGGGGAATGGGGGTAAAAGGAAAGAAGAAAGGAAGAACATAGGGAAGGGAGGGACAGAGAAGGGGAAGAAGGGTGGGAGGGAAGGACAGAGGGATGACAAGGAGGGAAGGAGGAAGAAAGCAACTCTAAGAATGGGGTGATCATGTGAACTTCTGTATTGTGGAATTACTGAGCAAGAGGCGTGCCTACTTCATCAGTTAGACTCTGTGCAGAGTTTACAGGCAGGACAAAAATAAAGGTGGGAGTCAGGCTAGCTCTAGTTCTAAAGAAGGACTCATGTCACATCATGATGATTCAAAGTCCACATTGATCATGTTCATGTGATTCAGGAAAGAAGAAAAACTTGTGCGTATTAAGATATAAAGCATACATTTACTTCTGGGTTTCATCAGATAAATGAACGGTTTCCCTTTAAATGTGCAAAAGGTCGACCTGGCAACATAATACACATAAAGGAGTTTAAAGGAGCACAGTGCAGCTAAGGGGATTCCTCCCTGCCGGCAGGCAAACAGCAGGGTGGCCCAGGACAGGAACCCAGTGCCTTGCTCTCCATCTTCTTGCAGGAGTTCCTCCCACTCAAAATAGGGACTCAAGAACAGAAAGCATCCCCAAAGTAAGGCCGGCTTTGACTATGGAGACTTCGCATTT